TAAACCTGTGTTCAGGTATCAGCTGAGAATCTACCTGAGGGCAGGAGAGGTTTTATAGTGAAGCATGGTAGGAGAAATAATGACCTCCCTCATCAAAGGGGGAATTATTTGGACTGTAATGTCAACTAATTTAGTGATCGGTTAATCATTAACAGAGTCAAAAACGCAGTCAGAGCAGTAATTAAGTCAAAGCTGTACAAAAAATATATTTCTTTAAATATATTCTACTCAGAACTCCTGAAGTGTCATTTTTAGCTTTACCTGGTTCAAATTCGCTAACAAAATATCTTATGAAGCACATTAAAAAATATTCAACATATTAGCTCTTCGTTGTATTAATCAAACAGAAAAGGTTGAGCTTTTCACATGTTGGTGCTAGAACTACTTCTTTAGCAGCAGGTGCATCCTTTGATAGAAATGATCAAGTAAAAACCCGTTAAATGGTTACAGAAAAATGTTGCAAATTCTGCAAACTGTAAAAGTTTTAATTTAAGTAATTTTTTAAATAAAAAAAATGTAATTTTTTAAAGTTTGTTACATAAATTTCTACAGAATGTGCCATTTTTTTGTGTTAAAGGTTTTAGTACCACTCCATCCGGTCGGCGTCACAGTTGCAGTAAAGCTGTGGATCCACGCAGTCGCCCTGCAGGCCGCAGGCGCACTGCTGGCTGCCGGGATGAGCTCCTCCCCAGTACGTCTGGACCAGTCCGGTTCCGGGCCCGCCGAGCCACCAGCTGAACGGAGACCCCTCTGGAACACAAACAGCTCCTTTCACCTCTTTATTCACCAACCAGAGGCTTTTTAACTCTGCTTATGTTTGCCTTTTACAATGATTTAAACCTAACAGTAGGAATACTGAAGAACCATTTGGAGGGATCTGGACTGGACCAGGCAGCCGTCCTCATCTCTAAGTCTCCATGAAGTTGAAACAGAGGGATGTTTGCCAGCTCCTGAAAATAATGCTGTGATACAGCAGATGATGACAGTATACACACACTGTGAAGGCGCTGAGTCGGCGCTTCTTTTGTTTTCCAGCAAGCAGCGAGGAGGTTATACTGAAACTTCTGTTCCTCGTCTCTTTCTTCCTCATATATCACTGTCTGCTAAGCTTTCAACCAACGTTTCTATTACATGACAGAGAAAACGTTGCTTCACCTCACATATTTCTGTAACGTTCTCTCTTATATGTGGTCAGTTGCTGTGATGCATAATAACCGTGGCAACAAGGTTTTTTTTTTTTTTTCACAGCTGGGAGGAACTGATTAGTATCTAAAGAGCTCAAATAAAGCTTGAACTATGACCCCAAATCTCAGAGAAGTAAATAAGAGCAGAAACAAAGAGCAGAGAGAGGAGGAGGAAGTTCAAACCATCACTTCTGACGATCATAACAGGAGCTTGTTTTAAGTCTATAATCCATTAATATTGATGAAAAAGTTTGATTACTTAACTTATAAAATGGGAAAAATATCTCGTAAAGTGAAATAATCTCCCAGTGGAACTAGTCATATCTCATCAATATTAAGGAATTAATTACTTAAAACAAGCTCCTATAGCTTGATGAAAAGTTAGTTTCATTTTATTTCTAGAAACTAGACCAAAAATACTGCCCCGCTCAGCTCCTTCAGACTAGCCAGCAGCAATTAGCAAACACCTGGTGGAACCGAACATCAGCTCAGCTCATTATACAAGCTACTTCTCAGTGAAACTCTGGTAAAAACACTTCTTAAAGAGACAGAGTCGTCAAATTGCAAAGTCAAATTTCTATTTTTAAAATGCTGTACACATTCAGCATTTTCACAACAACTGAAGGTAACATAGTTACTTGATTGTGCTGTAAATGTGCCTAGAAAAAGTAAATTCTGCCCTTCTTGTCATGATATGCTTTTTAATTCTGGATCCATATGCAGAAAGTCTTTGTGTAAATGATGGACAAATGTCTAAAAGTCACAGGGAGCACAGGGAGCCAGAGCAGAACAAAAATCCAAGCAAAAAGACAGCAGGGAACCCAGGGCGGAACCGGGGCAAATGACAGGGTGAAACGGGAGGAACCAGCAGGGAATTACTGAGAATAAGTTGTGCGTATACTGGGGAAAATGATTACATCAGCCATCTGAACAAGGATCAGATGGCTGATTAGAAACAGTTTGCAGGTGTGGGGGAGAGAGGGAAATAAATCTAACACTAACGATTAACTAGACCTAAGAAACTTAACTGACAAAGAATAAAAAGACAATAAATAAACATAATGAACTGGAATCTCTGAGAAAGGACTGAACCAAAGTGAAACAGAAACATGACGGATTGAATCAAAGAAAAGGAAATAAGAAACACAGAAATAAACAAACAAACCCCAAAACCAACTCAAACAACCTGAGATCCTGACACTTTTAAGTTTAGCTGTATCATCTTTAGAAAAGATGTGGCATTTTTCATTCAATTAAACCTTTAAAATAAAAAACAAGATGCTAAAGTACCAAACAAGACACTGGTAAAGGAGTAAATTATGTCTCTCTGAACAAAATCTGTGTTTTAGCGATCTGTGTTGTTAATTCAGGAATCTGAAGCTACCTGACGATCAAAGAGATTTTATTTCCGTTTCAAACATGACCATCGTTTGGGCAAATTGAAGGAAAAGCTGTGAAATAAGATTCTTTATCGCCCCCAGATAAGATTAGGAGATTAAAGGGATTAGGATTAGATGGTTGAGTAGTGAGATCAACCTTTGAATAATTAGAATATGATGACCTCAAATACAGACTGAAATAAAAACAAATAAAAGCACCTGAAGGGAACCTGAATCATTCAAAGATAATATTCAGCGACTGGTCGACTGATTTACAAACATAATCAAAACTGTATAATAAATAACGGTGAAGTTGCTCAATAGTAATTAAAATAATCAACTAATTTTACAAAAAAAAGCCTAAATGTAGTTAATAATTACACCTTTAATCACACAACAGCACGGAGATCACAGCTGGACTCTCCCAGATGGATGAGAAGAAACTTTATTGCTGATGCTTTTCTTAGCTAACATTGTGTTAGCAAGTCTGTGTGACCCAAATTAGTAAACTGCAAAAACTCTGACTTTTACTGAGGTGGCGACACCATTAATCCATTAATCATGACTTAATGAAGAGTATTTGCATCTGATTAGTAGCTACTATCCCTCTTTAATTTTTTCTAGTTCGCAAAGATCAGTTTATTCTGATCATCCTGATTTGTAATAATTATTTCTTTTAACATGATCATAACAATCACTTTTACTTTTATTTGTTGTGTTACAGTTGTTGCTCTTTTAAGTGTCTGTTTTAAAGGCTTTACCAATTTAAGTCTTAGAAAAAGTTCAATTAATCTAGATAACCAACATGGAGTGGTGGGCTAACTACCAGTATTCTGATAATGCGCTAATATTGGTGCTAATTTTCTGTAAAATTGTTACCTGCACTTAGTTCCCCCTCATATATTTTTTAGGAAAAACTCTTAAGCACTAACTTACTCGTCGGTTTTCTAAGCTTCCACCTGAATAAAGTTTGTCATCTGTGTTGAAGTTTTGGTTACCAGCTGTTAAGAATTCATCAAGTAGCTAGCTGTTTAGACTCATGAGCAACATACAAATATAAACATAAATACAATATTTAAGGGTTTTATAAAACATGTAAATTGTAATCTCAGAATTAAATTGTGCTTGAGAATCGTAGTCTTTCCTGGGCCGGTATAAGCTAAATCGAAGTTAGCGCTTTAGCATTAGCTTCTGCTAAATACAGTGTTAGCATAGCCAACCTTTTAGTTTGCGGTGCCAATCACTGCTAACATGCATAATTAATTACATCAAATCAGATGTTCTTTTCTACCTTGAGTGTTGAGTAGGCGGGACTTCCTGCACTGATAGGACAGTTCCTGTTGGCAATGCTCTGATTGGTGGATGATGGCAGCTAGTTGCTCCTCTTCAGACATGTAGTCAAACTGAATCAAATGCTGGATTTCCCCCGGAGAGGGTCGAACTTTGGTCAGCTCTGTGTTGTTGTGCTGGAGCACCATCCAGGTGTTCTCATCTGGTGACGACAAGGTGATAAATATTAATGATTATCACTGAAAGAAACAGCATAAAACTTTTGTCCAACAGAAGTAGGAGAAGTCAGAAATATATAAACAATGAAGTGACCTCGTCATAGACAAATGTGGAGGGAGAAAAACTTCCTGCTTTGAAAATCATTTTTCTTTTTGTCTCAGAACATTAACTCTGTGCTTCTGAAGAGTTGAAATAAAAGTAGTTTTATAACTTTGTCCATCAAACGTGTATGAAATAACTATTTACCTAAAAGTGTGTTGTATAAATGTTGACTCTGTTAAACATGTCAGTGGTCTGACATCATATTAAACATGTTCTGGGACAAATCGAAGACAATCAAAGCAATTAAAAATGTATGAGGAGAAGACAAATATCAAACACCAATCTGTTTATTCAACCACTAAACAAACAGGACAGACGTGGTCATGTAGAATAAAAGAAGAGGAAGATCAGCTGTAATTATGTAACCCTGTAAAACATTAATGAGGAATGATGGGCTGAGTGTGTGTGTGTATTTGTGTGTGTGCGATACCTGTCATGTTGCAGTAGACCAGCTGTGGCTTGATGGGTCCGCTGCCGTCCACGTCGATGTAAAAATATCCTGACGTGTTGCCGCTGTGTTTGTACGCTTCACAGGACTGCTCATACGCCGCTGCGAGGAAAAATAATGAGAACATCGTCAGGACGCCGGGAAAGGAGGAGGAAAACCGCTCAACATGGGGGCTACTTCACAGATCACTGCAAGAAAAATAACCCAAGGTTTTACGTCTGAGGAACATCAGTAAACCAAATCTGTTTATAAAATACTTTTATTCAACTCGTACAATGAAGAGTTAGAAAATGTTTTTCATTGACAAACAATAAATTCCAGCTGGAACCTTTGAATTTGTGTGTTTCTGGTACGCCCATTAATATGATGCACGAGTTACATTCGGCAATGAGAAGCAGCTTCTCTCGGCCAACTGAGGGTTCATTTCTGTTTAAAAAATTAATCTGATTGGACGCTGGAAAAGTCTATAGTTGTGTTCAAGTTGTGTTAAATGGAGTTAGCCTGCAAGTGAAGCTATTTAAGGCTAAAGTAGCATCTCAATGCTAATCAGGTAGCAGCAGCACAGACACTAATATCAGCGTCTGCAGCTACAGAAGCTCCAGTGTGGCACTTTCCACCAATCTGGTGAAGTAACATAAATAACAGATAAAAATGATAAATAACAATAAATACTTTTTGTCATTGGGAGCCTGTGTCTTATGGGTCACATGATGTTATTTGGGTGTCATGTGACTCACAGCTGTGGCAGGTGGCGCCACTGTAGCCGCTGTCGGAGCAGTTACAGTGGAAGACGGTCCAGGTCTGACTGCAGAGGCCGCCATGTTCACAGTGACTGGGAGAGCACCTAAAACACGTAAACAGAAGAAGATTATCTTTTTACCGTCCCTGTTCAGACATTCTCATTCACTCTAAAATGGAGCAAAGCGCATTAAAATCATCCAAAAGTGATGAACATATAGAATTATGAAAGCACAAATACAACAAGACGCAGAAAAGATGCTATAAAGCAACTTAAACATATAAAATTATAGTTTCAAAGTCTCATTCTCTCTCAGATAAAACCTGCAGTCATAAGCAAAAAAAACATAAAGGCTCATTTGAGCTTCCTAAAAATGGAGGTAAAGGGAAGACGACAAAATGAAAAAAAGTAGAGGCTCCAGAAGTAAGCCCTGCGGGACGCCACATGGCAGAGAAACAGAGGAAGATGAACTTGGTGTCAAACAGACGGTATCTCAAATATGTATAAAACGTGATGCACAGTATCAGTGGTGGACACACTTCTCCTAATCCACTAATCCACTGATAGCAGAGCTGCTTTTTTTGTTTAGCGCTTTTGTTAAGTTTGAAAATGCTTAGCGCACTTAGCTTCCCCTAAAAGATTTTCTCTAAATAAATTTTAAAGGGCTGTTTTGTAAACTTTTAGTTGAATAAAGTTCGACATCAGTTGATGAAGACAGTTTATGCATCATTCATATCCAAAGAATTAGTAAAATACCACATTTAAAGTTCAGTTACAGCTATAAAATAATTAGAAGCTTCTCTGTTTCATGTGCAAATGTGACTCTGATTAGAGTAAATTGTCTCAGAGAGCTAAAGAAAGTCTCAAGAAACTCAAAAAGCTTCTGAGAGTAAAAGACAGTTAATACAAGTCAATGGAAACTTCTAGCGTTCAAATCTTTGATCAAATGTCTGACAAGCTTTCAACATCAGAGACAGAAAATCACAGCAAAGAACAGAGGCATTTTGCTGCTTTGTACCTAAAGAAACTACCTTCACACTGAGTCCATCATCACTGAAAACACAACGCTCCACATGCACTGAAAGTTTAGCAATGATGGAAGGAAAAAGGTTCTAATGATGAAAGCCGTAGCTTTATGTTTTGAGGTGAGTAAAGAAGATAAAAAGGGCACAAAGTGGTGTAGAAAACAGTTTTTCCTCTATAACTGTGCTTTTTGAAAGCAGATACACTTGCTTGTTTGACTGCATGCTGGTGCTTTTCGTGCGATTTAAAGGAAGTTTTCACACCCGATAGTCGGGTAGACTCGGTTCAGCTGAGGTCCAAAAATCCAATATTTGTTATATTTTCAGCTGCTATGGTTCTTTTTTCACACTGCAACCAAACCTGACATGCATATTAATCAGCAAAATAGTTTCATCTACTAAAATTACTCTGTTGAATGAACTATGAATGAATTGAAGGTCTTTAAAATATCAAAACAGAACACTCAAAGGCCTGATAATCAACATGACCTTTGACCTTCTGTAACCAGGATGACCGAGTGGTTAAGGCGATGGACTTAAGATCCAATGGACGGATGTCCTCCTGGGTTTGAAGCCCACTCCTGGTAGAGCAGCTAGAAGTTTATTTTATCAGTAGCTGCGACTTCTGAGCCAATAATTCTGATGGTATCAGCTGAAAAACAAAAGCTGAGACTTTAAAGACAGAAAAAATTAGAAGTGAGACCAGCTGGTACCATCAGGGTGACTGACTGCCACTAGACTCAACTACAGGTGTTATACACATTGTGACAAGTTTGTGTAGAAGCTGTGATTTCTTGAAAGAAAGTAGATGTAGCAGATGTCGTATCTCTTTAGATAAGAGACTCACCTGCCTGACAGGAAGCTGCAAGGCTTATTTTTCATAAAGATTCACTAAAGCGAGTGCAGCAGATACTACAGTTAAACTACAGTAAAGTTACTTTCTAATAATTCAGACCAAGCTCTTTAGAATGAACCAAAAATTTAAAGTTTTCAGGTTTCCCAAAGAATTCATCAAAGAAGCTAAACGAAGCATTTCTGTCAGAAGTTTTGCAATAAGAGCAGAGCTGCTGATTCAGTTCCTGTCATCAGACTGATCGCTCTGACCAATTAAACGCGTGGCTGCTCCTGGGTGTTGCTTATTGTGGGGGTTGCTTTGCCCTTTACACTGAACACAGACACGCAAACACAGATGTAATAGTTTGATCTGAGGTCAGACAAGCGTACGGGAGGTGGGTCCACAACTCAATTTTCCTCATAACTTCATATCTCATGGACCCTGAATTTAATCAGAGTGGGAGTGTGGAGAGCTGTGATTTTATTTCTCTTTTTCTGTTTCAGTGAGCAATCAGATCTGTGTGTGGGAGCTGAACATCACAGCGGTGACATTCTTGTAGTTTTGTTTCTTAACTTTTTGGCCTTCAAGGCTCCAGAAAAAAAGATTTAAGGTCAAAGCAATAATCCAGAGCGAGAAAGGTACTCAGCCATTATATCTGACATGCTTAGGGTTAGGACATAACCAAAAGAGTCTGGGTGAAAGTTTTTTCTTATCATCATTTAGCGATTAAAAATATTTTTGTTAATATTTTTTCCATTCCAAGGATCTTATTTTAAGGTGTGCAAAATTATTTTTCTCCCACTATAAGGGAGTTTTGCGATAATGTGTGATGGCAAATGTGACTTTTTGTTCCTTGCTGCAGTGAGAAGTGTAGCAGAAGAAATACTGCCACCTGCAGGTGGGAGTTGGCATCACTTAAATCCAACGTTTTGTGCTGAATTTGGAATAAATTCACAATTAAGCATTAGCACAAAAAACCCCTGGAGGGACTGGCTAATGTACAGTGATAATATCTATGACTAAACGTGAACAAAACTTCAAGAGATAAAAATAATTTTGGGTTTTAATTGTTTCAAACTGACAAAAGTTTAAACTAACATGGATAGTTAGAACTTAACATCAAGAGGGATTCCACTGGAAACAGTAAAAGAGATCAAGATGGCTGCTAAAGAAAGGCATTGAAACAGACATTGCTGCTTTGTTGCATGTGATTCTGAGCTGATGGAGATCCAGGTCTTCCTGCTGGTCAATGTCTATGTGTGAATGGTTTGAGACTGAGTCCTCACAGCCACCAGGATGGCCGAGAGGTTAAGGCGTTGGACTTAAGATCCAATGGACAGATGTCCTCGTGGGTTCGAACCCCACTCCTGGTAAGCTCCTGCTGTAAATCCTCACCAGTTATCTCATGAAAGGCGCTGGGGTCAATGCTGTGCTAGAAGGATATGGGGTCTTATAATAATCTGTCAGTGGAAATAGCACATCTTCATTGTTAGTAAGGAGTTATTGACTTTAAAATACATTGCTGGAAATGTACTTGTTATTTCAATCATTCTAAAATACTTTTATTAGAAACTAGACCAAAAATACTTGGTAAGACTTTGTGTTTTTGCAATGAACACACATCAGGACCAGGATGGCCGAGAGGTTAAGGCGTTGGACTTAAGATCCAATGGACAGATGTCCTCGTGGGTTCGAACCCCACTCCTGGTAACTTCTTTAAAGGATAAACTATGTTCCAGTCTTCCTAGCAGAGGTAGCTGAAACAAGACTTAATTTGAGTTATGATAATTCTTGGACAGCTATGATTGATCATGATATGAATTATTATTTATTGATTGTACATCCATAATTAGAAAGGATTTATAATTTTTCAGATAACATCAAAAATGAAGGCAGATACAGTCCTGTTAATTGATTTTGTGAATCGTAATCAGGAGGAAATGCATCTCTAAGGTTTTCTGCAAAACCTTCCACTCTTCTGTAGGGCAGTAAATAATTTTCCAGCAGAAATAGTACATTAACTCGGTACCAAATATAAACACTCCCAGAATCCATAACCATATTTCCCAGAAAATCACTGCTGCTAACACGATTTGTGTTTACTGAAACCATCTGGAAAATGCCGTTCTAACTGCGGACCGACAGGAAGCATTTTGGAGGCTCTGACCTGTCGATGATGCCGCACATGTCGATCTGGAGTTGGCTGTAGTTTCCCAGAAGCCTTTGCTGCACCATGATGAGGTCGACTGGCTGGTTGTCCAAAGCGAGGAGACGCATGCAGCCCTGGAAAGTGTCGTGAGGTTTTTTACATTCCTGGTTATAATCTTCAGCAGGACATCCTTGAAAAAGCAGCAGAGAGGAGATTAAAATGCAGCAGCAAAGATTGTATCAATTAAACTTAAAGAGAATAAATACCAAGTAAAATTACAGACAAAACTAACATGAAATTAAATTGATAAATATCCTCTAAATTAGAGTAACCCTCTGATTTGTGGTGAGTTGGTTCTTATCATGTTGAAGTCGATACCGCTCCAACAGGAGGAACTATTTTTTCCTTCTGTAGTCCATTAAATATGGAGAAGAAGATAGTGTTTAAACCTGTGAATCTGCATGTGTGAGATGATAAAGAGCCCTAAGGCAGATATAAGAATATGTTTGGACTAGAATCTTGCTTGGCGGGCAAAATCAGGACGGCCGTTTAGGCGGTGAAAAATGAAACAATGAGCGAACAAAAAATGAGAGCGAACAAAAAGGGTAGGATAGGATAACAGGAAGGAAACAGGAGAAAGAAAATTGCCTTAAAATTAAGAAAAGGAAGATTAAAAGGGAGAAAAATTAGGTAAGCCTTTAACTTTAATAACTGTAAAAAGGCTACCAGTGGAAGCGTATCAGATATTCATGTTATGGGAAATGAGCAATCAGTTCTCGAGCCCAAACTTTGGGGCCAAAGACACCAAGTCAAAAGCACTGATATCAAAACCTAACCTGACTTAAAGTCACAAAAATGATTATTTTTTTCTACAAAACATTAGTATTTTAAAGGTGACCTATTATGTTTCCTTGAACAGGTTGGAATAAGTTTATGAACTAACTTGTTTGCACATAATCATTCTGAGATAAAGAGATTTAGTCTGGTCAGTTCTGCCTATTTTGAGATGTTTCAGGGCCTCTTGTCACTTTAAATGTAACTAAGCTGCTGCTGACCATGCGCCCCAACTCAACGTTTACAATCAGAAATGCAATTATCCAACTGTACATCTTTGAAAAGCATTAGTAGAGCTTCCTGCATCACCAACAACAATGCAGCAAGTGGTAAGACAACAACAAAACACTTGTCATTTCCAGCAGCCATTGTACAGCACATACTGCGTTACAACCAGCTGACCAAATGTGCTGGGGCTCAGCTTCTGTTGCTAAGTAACAGGGCTGAGGTTGCTGAGTCACGGGGCAGTGCCCACAGATTGTTAAACAATCAGGAGGTTTTTGAAACGGCTTGTTTTTCACACACCAAAAACCATTAACTTATTGTCAAAAAAACGTTTGGGTGTCACTGGATGAATGTGGTTGTATTTACTCTACATGATTATTAAATGACAAATACGGTACCTAAAATAAAATGTCTAAATACGCATCAACCGCCTGAGCAAACAGGCTAAATTTGGCATCAGTTGGATTTGAGAGCCAAATAAAATCTACCTGAGAGGCAGAAGCTAAAGCCACCAGGATGGCCGAGAGGTTAAGGCGTTGGACTTAAGATCCAATGGACAGGTGTCCTCGTGGGTTCGAACCCCACTCCTGGTAAGCATCATGAGGAATAATGAAGTTCAACTCAAACTCTAATTACTCCCTGACTTACAAGAGAGGAAAGTCTGCCTTAGTTTGAGGTAGGATAAGTGCTTCATGTCAATTTAGTGATTTATTTTAAAGCTCTGTTTGGGCATGTAGCAGGAAGTCAGCCATCTTGTTTAACTCTCAGTAACAAGTTCATCCATCCATCTGCATCATCAGCACCGTCTGTAAGTTCTGACTAATATTCAGGCGTAAAAGTTTAATTCAGACTTTTGTGAGAATGTTTATTGTAAATGTTTGTTTTGATGAAGCCTGTGGGTTCATGTTGGTTTACTGAGATACAGACGAGCCTTTGCTAATGATGCTAAGCTAGTACTAGCTATATTTTACAGATTTACTCCTGGAGCACTGTGTTAAACAATGAACAATTTGTTCAATTTAAAAGCAACAAACCATTTTGAAAAATAGTAAAGTACTGTTTGTGATTGAGTCATCAGTTTTTAAAGTGTTTCCATGCATTCTCTTTACAGCATGTTATTAAATGTTTGAAGTTCATTGGCTGCAGCTAAATGTGTTTCTTCTCAAGTGAAATATTAACAACTTCAAGCTGTATGAAAGACAAACAGGACAAAACTCAGTATGATCACATCTTGGCAGACACAAGAATATATTAATACTGAACATATTAGGTCAGATGTAAAAATCTTTTTTCAAAAGCTTAATAAAAATATATCAGAGAGGATAAATGAAAACAGTACAAATTGGTAACTATGTTTGCTTTATTTAACATAAAAGCAGTGTTTCACATTTACCTCCAAAGAAGATCTGGTTTGACACCGAGACAGGAAACGAGGGAGACGCGTGAGCGACGCCAGTTTCCTGTTTGTCCACAGAGACGGTGAGGCGGCCGCGCCTGGAGGTCAGATCCACCGAATGCCACTGACCATCATTCAATCCAGATCCTAGGGAAAATACACAAGGGCAAATATCGATTGTACGGATTTTAAATGCAAAAACACAAACCATACCCAGTTTTCTTGTCTAGTTTCTACTGCAAATATCTGAGAAATACGACAAAACTAACTTTCAAACAACTTTCAAACAGCAAGAAAATGAGCTTGTTTTAAGTAAATAATTCCTTAATATTGATGAAAATGTACTTTATTCATTTGCAGATTATCTTAGTGAAAGAATCTGCCAGCGAAACTAGAACTCTTGATTCACTTTTTGAAAGGAAAGCGAGTTCTGACTTTAGAGTATCTTCCTGACAGCTGCCTGAATTTTTTAAAACTTAGATATTAAGAGATATTTTGTGTTTTTACAGTGCAGTCCAATGTCCTCAGAGGAGGAAATACATGGAAGTTTGTGGTTGTAAAGTGACAAAATGTGAAAAGTCGATGCATCCTGCAGACTGACCGGCGCTGAGCTCCAGCAGCGCTCTGCCTCCTCTCTGGATCTGCAGGCGGAGTCTCGCTTCCGCCAGGTACAGCCACACCTCGTCTCCTTGCCTTGGGAGGTCAAAGGTGAGCAGAAGCCCGGCCTCGTTCCACGTCCTGAACTGAAACCCTACGGACATCCCCGATGACGCGGATGGCATCGTCCACGGCAACTGGAGGAAGCTGTGGGGTCCCGGGAACGTCACGGCAACGTGAACCGGCTCGGCGCAGGAAAAGGTCACGTTGCCCTGAAAGTAAAGAATAAAAACTGATTACTGAAGGGATAAAACAACAGAAAACATGAATATTAATCAGCTGCAGGGGGCGTGTCTCATCAGCGAGTCTCCTTGAGAACAGCAGCACAAACTGAAACGTCTCATCGGCGGCGGGGCGGAGTGTGTGGACTCGGCCGTCACTTCATTGCAGTCCATTGTTCTGAGGCGTAATGACACAGCAGCCGCCGCTAAAGCTGCAGCGGTAATATATTACTGCGCCGGCTCTCTGCTGGGAATATCACCCGGCTATCTTTATAATGCTCTGGAAACAGAGATGACATCTAAAAGCCCTTTGCAGAGCTGTTAAAGTGATATATGGACGCGTGTGCTGCAGAATGCATCATCACGGCAAAATATAAAGTAAAAATTGGACGATAAAAACCCGGCGAAGCTACTCACCCCACATTAAACCTGCAGAACGGCCTGCACCTCTGCATGCTAGCACCTATGAGGGTTCTGCATTAGAGGCGTGTTTTAAATTAGGCAGTAACTGAGTTAACACGCCATCACTGGGAGAGCAACAGCTTCTGTCAGGAATAATGCTGCTCTGCACTTTGAAAGGAAAAGCAGCTCACACTCACTGCTGCTGCTGCTCCGTTTCTCTGCCATCAACACAGAAACAGAGAGTTTGAATCAGCAACAGCTGCACTGTAAAACATTGGAAGGTGGTTTAACTTGAATACCTTGGAAATGCACGTAAAGTCAACAGGAAAATTTTGGATTTAACTCAGAACTGAGATAATAAAGCTGATTTAACTACAAGCCAAGATGTGTAAACATTGTTTTTTTTAGTTCTGGTAACTCATGTCCACTGGAATGGACATGGGGCATTTCTGGGTTTAAACTAATACATTTGAATGATTCTTGACAGTAGCTGCGTTTCCATTACAAATGAGTGCAAAACTTTGTCTACATTGCACTAATGTTGAAAAAACACAATCTCGCAATTGTAATGTTTCCATAAAATAAGAAATTAGATGTTAATAAATTTGTTCAAGTCACTAAAAAGCATGTCGTTCCGTCATCCTCCTACCACTTCCTGTTTCTTCTTCGTCTTTTCGGCCAGTAGTAATCATGAGACTTGTGTGATTTGAAGAAAGTGTTTCCACTGCTGTTTTGCAAAATATGCTAATTTTGCTACAGACGAGAAACTACCTCATCCTAGCGCTAACTTAAAAACCTTCATCTGTTCAACTCTTGGAGATTTGAAAAAGTTAACACAACTCACTGCTGTGAGTGTATCTTTCGAAAAGACAAACATTTAAGTTAAACAGAAGTTATATGCAGCTCAAATGTTTGACAGAGTGCAGTCGTTCCTGAAAATATCTGGAAATCCGTTGATGTTGAGTGTTCTTTAGCTGAAAACAACTGAAGGAACAGGGAGCGCCTCGTTTCATGTGCTGCCTGTGTCTCTGTAAAGAGTCATTTTGAGCCTGTATTATTTATTTTCAGAAGGTTCGGCTGCTGCGATTGATTCTTTCTTCCTTCACTCTCTGATATGAAAGCTCAGCGCTCAGGGAGTTGAGGAGATGAATATCAAAGCTGCCTCTGCAGATGGTTTATATGTGATGTGTCCACCTCACAATAGAGAAATAAAACGTCATCTGCTTCTAAAAGATGGTCTGGATTAATCACTGCAAAAACACAAAATCTTACCAAGTCATTTTTGGACTAAAATCAAGTGCAAATATCTTAGCACACTTGAAATAAGACAAAACTTACAAGTAGGGCTGTTGTAAATTATTATTTTAATAATTTTACTGAATGTAAAAATGTAAAAATAATTACATTATGCTGGTAGCACGTAGCTTTCGCCAACAACTCATAGGCGCTGCCTATTTGTGTCGAAATACGGTGTGCTAAATATTAAAACATGATTTAACAAAGCTTCGAGGCAGGTAATTTTCCTAGAGGATTTTTAATAATCGAAGTACTCGAATCATTCGAGGAATCGTTGCAGCTCTACTTGCAAGAAATAAGAGCTTGTTTTAAGTCAATATTTCCTTAATAGTAATAAAAAAGTACTTGTTGCACTGGCAGATTATTTCACTTACAATAAAACATTTTTCCCTTAAGTGGGATAATCTGCCAGTGGAACAAGTACTTTTTAAAATGATATTAAATAAGTTATTGATTATTGCTGAAAAGTTACTTATCAGTTAGTTTTACCTTATTTTAAGTATAAAAATAAGAACTTAAACCAAAAGTTCTTGGTATTATTTTTGTGTTTTTGCAGTGAAGATGTCAGCAAACTTGACTAACTTTGTAACACTTTTACATGTAACTGAGTATTTTTTATGTTGTGACCAGTATTAAGGGTTAGTAAAGTTCAAGATTTTTCATATCAATATTCCAAACTTTTCCACAATTCTAGAATCCTTAATACAAAATTACAACATCAATATATAAACTAATTTTCTCTGACATCTGTAAGAGTCCAGTTTTTAGTTATTATTTTTTTTATTTGTTTTTGGTAATTTAAGCGAAAAGGAAAAATAGAAACAGAACACACTTGAAAAAGATCGACTGCAGCAGCGAATGGACTCGACACATAGTAACCTTTGGATTTAGAAAAATAGCATGAAAATGTCACTGACAGCTCTGCAGGAGGACAAACAAAAACCAGTTGGTTCTAAATTAAGAGATACTGAAGACAGAAAAATCACTGGATTTAAACCGTAATCACATAATAAAATAAAAAAAATGATCCGATTATCAGAAGAAAATATCTTAGTCTGAAAGAAAAAGATAAGAATCTTATTATCAGAAGATAAAGACTGGAAAACGACCTTTCTCTACTGAACTGGATGGAGGATTTATATAAAAGCAGAAACAAGAGCTGAGAGTCAAAAGGTTTATATAAAAACGAGTCATTTAACAAACAGCAACACTTCAAAACTGAAAAAGAGACTAGAAGAATTAAATGAAAGTCAGTCTGATGGAAACATTGATGTGTGGAGGGTTAAAATAAAATAAAATAGGAGATGTTTTAAATAAAGTGTACTTTATAATCACCACTTTACATGTTGTACTGTTTTTTAATACATTAATTATTGTGTGGAGATCTGGGAAAACTTTTATAAAACCAACACAAAACCTTACGCTTATAACTAAGATTATTTTGACACAACTTTTTATGATGTAGTAGAGCCCAGAACAGCACTGACTGTGTAGAAAACCCTTAATAAAACCTTCCAATGTCTATAAAAGTGGTTTAAACAAACTATGAATTAGGAGAGAAGGATTCATTTAAAACAAACAAACAAAAACAATGTCAAGACAAATATTGAAAAAAATTGCACTTCAGTTAGAGGGACTCGGGTGTAGAATGATTGTGAGGAGTTGAAACTGTTTTTCACTCTTAAAGTTAACAATAAGTTATAGGAATAACTTGCTAAACAAACACAATAAGGTTTGATGGTTTTCTTTCAGGAGTTTGTCTGCAGATCTAGCTGGAATTCCTTGGAGATGTTTTAGAAAATATACAGTAGAGATTCTGCTGCTTTATGTAAAACAAAGTGAAATAATAAGTTCGTGTCCATCTTCATTTTTTGTCACTGGCAGGAATTTAAGTATTGTTTATCTGTTTCTATGCTGCTTTCGCCTTGTATTTTTTTAGCACTGTTTTTATTTTTGAAAAATAAATAAACTTAAACTTTACTTACCTTTATGCTAACCTGCTGGTCGTTGTTCTTAGCTAGTTCTGTTACGTTAACACCGTTGTACATCAGGTTTTCCAGGCAGCCCTGGAAGTTTTTCCTGGCGGCATCTGGATTCTGCGACGCTCCTACAATCAGCTGAACATAATGTGGATTTAGTGAGTTTAAATCAGGTTTACGTGGACGTTTCCTGGTTCCTACGCACCAGTTTGACGTCCCAGAGGCTGAACTCTTCATCGGTTTGGACCGTCTCTGTGTGTCGGTCCACAGTGAGGTTGAGTTGGGAGTTTCTCTGTCTCAGGACGACGAGGTGCCAGTGCTGGTCGTCCAGCAGGCTGCCGACGGACGTCAGCCGACGGGGCTCAGAGGACGAAGAGGTGCCTGGAAAAACGGAGGTGTTACATAATAAATAATACTATTTTTACTCCAGCGTGTGAAACCAAACTCAAATTCTGACTTATTTTTATGTTTTGATCCACTTTCTCCTTGTAACTCATGTTATTTTGTCGTCTTAAGCATAACAGTAAAAATGATAACTTTACATGTTTTTAGGTTTTCATCCAGGTTTTGTTGTTTGGATGTGTAGTTTTTATCCTCTGTAGTTTTTATGTAACGTGTTTTCTGTCTGTCTCTGATCTGACAGCCGGCTGCTCCGTTACCTGACCTCCATGTTTGTTTTCATCCTCGTTATTTGACCTGTTCATCTGCTGCTTTCTGACAGTCTGACCTGAAGTCAGAGCAGCAGAAAAATCCCTTAAGATAAATAAAGAAAACTCTTCTTTTCTCCGCTTCACGCAGGGAGGGTCACTGCAAGGCCATCTCATTAGAAACACATAAGTACATCTGCATATTTGTCTGGAAGCCGAAGCCAAATATGTGAATACAAAGGAACATGGTGAGACATCATTAATGATGAAAGAGCAGCAGCCGGTCCTAATAAGTGGATCTCCACTTGGGATGTGAGAGAAAACTTTGCGGTTCTGCTGAGAGAAGAAACCAGGAGAAGGCGCATTAAAAATGCATTGCGTATTCTTCGGAGGGGTGGTGGGAGGCAATCCCAACGTCAGAGACAGAGAAGAAAGAGAGAGAAAGAGACGAGCCGGCAGCTGGAAGGATGACGGACAAATGTACCTTTGATATTTGAGCTCATTCCAGGAGAGGATAGATTTTCCTCAGAAAAACAACTTCATCCAGACAGAGAAAGTTATGATTTTCACCTCATGATAGAGAGGAACGTCTGTGCTGTCAGCACAGCTATTGTGATGATTTATTTGATTTCAGTGTGGATGAGCAGACAGACACAAAAGCAATCAATATGGGAGGAAAGACAAAACAAATTAGATATCTTCTCTGGCATTGATTAATAGGACAATTAATATGCTGCAGGTTGTAAAGAGGGAGACCTCACTGGATGGATGTTTCATCAAATGGATGATCTGATTACTTAAGTGAAGGGAAAGACAGAGACCGAGCTCACATATTAAATTTTCAAACGGAGAAATTTCCCTAATGATAACACTGAATATGAATGCTGGAAGCTTTTTCAGACGTCAGAATTCAGCAACTCGTTTTGAGAAATCCTGATTGGTCAAGCAGAAAATCAACCAAACTATTATAATCTTAATCTCAAATGAGCCGTGTGTAAACAGGATTATAACACTTACATGCAGAGTTATGCAAGAATGAGTAAAAATGAATTTAATCTGTTTTTAATGCTTCTGAAAACAGGTTATGTTCTCTTCAGTGCACATCGTAGTTTTAGGTCTGGTCCATTTGTTCGTTTTAATCGGATGTAAAATCTGTGGGTGAGGCTAAAAATTAGGGTGATGGCAAAGAGGCGTTCAGAAAACAAGGATTTAGAGTTTATCATCAAAGATAAAGTATATAAATAAATACTTTATAATCACACAATGTACAAAATATACATATTTTTTTAATTTGACCGTCTGTTTATATTAATTTTTAAATCAGTTATATGTAGCAGTAAAAATCACTGGTTTTGGCCAAAACTGGAATCTATACCTATACTTTGAGCAATCACTCTGTAGAAGAACTGATTGTCATTAACACAACGAAACATACATTTAACATTTATTGAAGAAATACTTTAATATGTTCTGAGCTTGTCTACATATTTGACAGAACCAGGGTTTCTGCAGATTTTACAAGATCAAGTTTAAAATTTTTTATGGAAATTATAAATGAAATTAGAGCTGTATCACGACAAAAACTCACAAAAGAAAATCTCAACCAAATAAACAGACAGAAACGGACAATTTTTATTTTCTTTGTGTGTTAAGAAACACCTTGTGTTTTTTGTTAGGAATGTTTGTAAAGGATTCTTATAGTAATGTCTGGTGTGGACGTTAATGGGGATCCTTAAATAACCAAAAACACATGTAATTGAGGCTTTTTGATGAAAACGAACAATGAAAATCATTTTAATAAAGATATGCTGCTTGTTGAAACTCCCTGATTTACTGACAAAGTCCTTCAGAAAGCATCAAGATCATTCCTGTCTTCCTTTGAAAACTGAATGTTTACTTTTAAAATCTGAATCCATTTCCATGAATCTGAAAAGTAAATTTGGATTAAGTGAAAGTATAAGTGCTTTTCAGGTTGGATGCTGTTCTGAAGGACATTAGGATTGACTGCGCTGTCTCATCGTTACAGTCGATGCCGTTTGTTTTATCATTCTGCGCCTGACCTCAGGGGAAAATCGCTTCATCGTATCTCTTCTGCCCTCCCATTAAAACGCCTCTAAATCTGATCGCTCTTTTCGGGAAAACCGCTTGGTGTTACATCGCTTCACCGGCTGACTCTCGTAAAGCTCAACCTCCGTCAAAGACGGCCTGTAACAATTCAATGCAGATCACATAACGGGAGGCTTCCAGCTGGATCCGTTGCTTTTTATTCCCCGTTAGAAAGGATTCACTTCGTTTTTTTAAAAGAAGGATCAGATTCGGCTTGACAAGGTTGAGTAATAATAATTATAACACATGTCCTAAAGCTGAAAACGAACAAATGAACCAAAAATAACGGGGTGGGAACTGAGCTTACGAGGCAGCTAACTTCAGATGACAGAAAAGCTCTGCCAGATATTTGCTTCTGCTCCAAATGAATCAGCTCTGAAGTTTCTAATTGGAGCTCTTGGTGCTGCCGTTATTCAGGATCATGTTGCAGTTTCCGGGCTGTTGCTCAGTGTTGCCTCATAAAGAGAGGAGCGGGATCTGAAGTGAACGGTGGGAGGAGAAAAGAGGCCTGGAAGTGCTGGCGCTTCGGAGAACAGTAGGCATGAACTCTGGGTCGGCAGATGACCTGAATTATGAGCAAAACAGTAAGACGGGCGATAAATAAAGCAGGTAATGTGAAGCAGGGAGCTGAAAGATGTATAAAAAGCTTAAAACTGCTTCTGAGAAGCAATGAGAGAAGAAGAAAACCCAAGAAATGAGGAGCGGATAAGAGTCTAAATGGGCTGTGAGTCTTATGATGGAGCATCAGAAAATAAATTCATACAGAATAAAGTCGTACAATAATGAATCAAAATAATATGAAAACAATCTGAAATTGTAAAAGAATTAGGTGAAATATTACAGCTGCATGACATTAGGTCAAAAATTATGAAAAAAAAGTCTTTATATTGTGAGCAAATCATACAAGACTTAAGTCAAAATATTACAAAAATAAATGTTACAAGAAAAAAGTGATTGTGAGAAATAAAATCATAATATTGTCAGTAAAAAATAATAAAATAAGAATAAAAGTGGACTATTATAAGTTGAAATATTACAAGAAAAAAGTCAAAATTTTGTGAAGATTTCTAAGAGAATTAAGTCCAAATATTAAAAGAATAAAGTCACAATATTACACGAATAAAGTCGCATGATAGTAAGAAGAAATGTTATGAGATTTATGTCACAATATTATAAGAAAAAATTCATTATATTGTGAGAAAGTAGTACGAGAATTAAGTCAAAATTTGATTTGAATTTAAAAATATTTAATTGATCCCAAAGGGAAATTAAATGAAATAATACAAGAAAAATGTCATAATATTATGAGAATAATGTTGTACAAGAATAAAGTCGATATATTATTAAGTTTATTTTTGATATAAAGTTAAAAAAAAAAAAAAAACGCAGCTAGAAATGAATTGGAGGAAAATCTTTCCTCCATCCTGAACCATCTGTGTTAGATATTTAGAAACTTTAGATATGTGAAAAGAAACAATAAGTTTAAAATGTAACAGCATTTAAAAGAAGAAACACTCCAGAGTTTGATGTTTAATATGAGATTAATGTTTTTTCATTTTTGAAGGACGTAAAAAAGAGCCGACGACTGAATAAAAACCCACAAAAGACAAAATCTTTTTTTTGTTTTGTTCGTTGGATGGACCAAAAACTGAACTTTTATTTTTCTGGTAATTATTTTCTAACTCTAATAGATGGATGTAGAAAAATCTATTTTTCATCCCAAGGCTATGCAGTTCATCTTCCTAATTGGACAGTTTTCCAAGGTGATCTACTCGTTACAGAGACAGAGACTTTCCAAAAAAGTACCTGGGTCATTTTTTTTAAAGGTGACACAGATGCAGGGGATAAAGGTCCTACAGAGAGCGCTCAAGGTGACATAAATTAGTTATTTCCACAATGTCAGAACCTTTGTTTAGAAACTTTTATCCCTTTTCAGATGCTCCACAGCTCTTGAAAACGTAAAAAAAAAATATATATAAAAAATTAAGAAACTGAGCAAAAACAATCCTTGGAAGATGAAAATGAATGTTAATGCCAGTTGGAAACTGGTTTAAACTCAAAATGTCCGCCGCTCACATAAACAAACAGTTTTGTACGGACTGCAAGCAGAGCAGAAAGTCTTGGTGAGTCCAGACGTAACACATGGTGCCACGAACCAGAACCATCCATCATGGCAGTAACGAGACGGCGATGCAGCCGCCAAGAGAGAGCCGGGAATTAACCAATCAGAGGCCAGCATGTGAGCTGGCAGCCAGTAACTCTCAATAAAACATCACAGGATCTCATTCTGCATTTTTCATGGACCTCTGTGACGATGAATCAAACAATAGATCTGCCTTTCATGGATAAACTGTTTTTTCCTGACGATTCAAAATAGCCCAAGTTAGTTTCTTTTTATTTTTACAGTTTTATTTTTGAAGTTTCCTTCTTTTATAGACTTATATTTTAAAAGTTTTCTGTGTATTTTTATAACAAATGCCTGAATCTATTTGTATCAGATCTTAATCTGGACCTGAAGTCCAGTTTCTTAATGGATCAGGTAAATATTTATTAGCAAGATTTTTCAGCATCTTGCTAAAGGTAAGATGGTTTGAGCAGCTAAGTTTGAGATTAGCTGCTTTAGAGTGGAATATTGGGGTTTTATCTGGTTGTCCAACATAAAATAGTGCAAAAATGTTTTTTTTAATAGTAAAACTATGCAAATAAAATCTGAAAAGTGTGGCTTGTAAGTATTTTAGGGTGTATATCCACAAGCTTTACAGATGAGTTTTTTCTTATTTCAAGAGAACCAACCATCTGTCCATAACATAAAGTGTTTAATTTTTCTGAATTTGCTGAATTAGAAAGAAAAATCAATAAATTTTAACATTATTTTGTGTTATTCTGTAGTATTACCATTGAAAAGAATAAAAATAGGTGAAATATTTAATTTCTCATTAACAGAGAGATGTTCATACAGAAGTACTGTCTGCAGTTGCTCTTAAATTAATGTTAAAACTTCACTTCAGGAAGTGTTTTAACTAACCACATCCCTCAAAATCAACCTTGCCTATTGGCATGTTTTTTTTTTCTTCCAATTTTGCTCCATTATTTTCCACTTTTCTGTCATCATCACATCTTTGTTTCATAGAAAATCAGTAATGTTTGGTTGAGAAGTTAACGCTGCTCAGTCATGCAGGTATTAACAGAACCACCTAAAGTGTATTTTTCATTCCACATCAGAATTTGTTTGGACCGTTTCTCTTTCTTGTTCTCGTATGGTCCCGCCACATTTATTTCTGTATGAACTGGATCCACTTAAGGATGACCAGCGATGCCCTCTACTGGATGGAAGCAAAACTACAACAGTAAAAGGAGTTCTTAAGTGGATTTTACTAGTTAATCAAATTGAGCTCATTTTAATCTAAATGAACTATTAATCAACAATCACAAGTGGATTAACTGTTTTCATCCCCAGTTCTAAGCCATCTCACTGTAGTCCTGGCTGTTCAAATACTTTATATGGACCATTATGTATTTTTGTTAAAGGTTTTGTTGGCTCTAGTAGCCTTTATTTGAAAGTAGTTTGACAAGAAAAAGGGGGAAGATGTGCGGCAAATGTCACCAGGCCAGGAATCGAACCTGCGACCACCGGCATAAGGACTAAAGCCTCAATACATGGGTTGCGCCACCACAGCACAACCATTATGTTTTAATTCTTACTTATAAAATGTCTAATATTTTGGCATGATAGAAAAAATGCTGAGGTACTCCTTTTAGCTCACCAACTTTGACAGCATGACGACCCAGATTGCTGATTCTGTCTTTGTTTCTGTATGGGCGAACCCAACAACACACAGAGGAAATCTTTTTCTGGAGGAAAACCGCTTCATGTTCTCTGCCTTTATTCCCTCCTCTCTGTTTCTCTGGTTTCCTTTCAGATGTTAACAACCTGATTACTTTCTGCTCAGATGGTCTAGCTGCTAATTGGATTCCTGTGGTTTCAAACCGACCAATCACCACAGAGAGCCGTCAGTCAAACGAGAACACCTGAGGAGCTCTGGCCATCTCACTGCGTCCTGTTTGTGTGAGCAGTTGATGCGTTGGCCGCTAATTAGCCACCAAGAATGTTAAAGTATGCTCTGTTCCGACTTGGCTGAATGCATTTTCAGCTTATATTTGTTATAAACAGTAACGTATTTTCTGGACCCCAGAATTAGTTGCACATGTCAAAAAAATGATTATGAAGAGGAAAAAACATGTATAACTTGCAGGAAAATACTGTAAAAATATTTAAAACTTTCTTTAAATAATCATTTTTTATACCGTTTTTTTTCCTTCATAAAATCTTCCCTGTTTTTCAATTATTATTATAAAATGTAACTTAAAGACGTTATTTGCCAGGCTCCTTTTTCTGATTACCTGCCAGTCAAGCTAGCATAGCTAGCATAGCCAGCAAGTATGAAATTAAAAAGTTTCTCAGAAGAAAAAGACAGAAGAAGACTCTAAAACTGGAAAGTATGAGGCAGCACTTATGCTAAAATAATGTAGAAATTATTAAATAATGGTTAAAAGTATAAAAACACTCTAAAAATTGATATTTTTTTACATATTTTGTAGCATTATCTTTGGGTTTTTGTAAACGGAGATCCCGGTCAGAAGCTAATGCCATTTGGGGGTTCATGGCATGGAAAAGTTTGGGAACCGCTGTCCTAAATAACAGATTAAAAACAATAAATATTTTACCTGTTAAGCTTATATGTTAATTTATTCAATAATTTAGCCGCAAAAACAAGTAAACTTTAGACTCCCAGCACTAATATTAAGTGTCTTACCTTGTCTGAGCAGCAGCTGTAGCTTCCCCCTCTCCAGCTGCAGGCTGAGGACCGACCCTTCCCGCCCTTCGGCGTGCAGCAGTGTCCCGGAGTTCCTCAGGGTTTTGAACTTCAGGGAGATGACCTGTTTCGACCCCTGTCTCGGCACTGGACCCGGTCGGTACGTCAGGCTGCTGCCGCCGTCGAAGCTCATCACATCTGAGGCTGAAAATAAAAATAAGACAGAAGCATCTTCAGCTGTGATCCTCAGCATTTACACTCGCAGTGAGTTACTGGGTTACAAATCTGTTTTCTGTTTATCAAGCACTTTCTCTGCCGGTGTCCTCTGCTGGCTGGGGATTTAGACTGAGGCGAGACGAACGGTGTAGATGGGAAAGAATGGACTGCTGTTAAAAAGAGCAGCTGCTGAGCTCAGCATCAGTTTCCTCTTCAGTTGTACAACTAATTTCCCTTTCTCTTTTTTAATGAAGTTGGCAAGTCTTTGACCTCACTTAGCTTGCAGTAATGTGCTTATTGCACTGTACAGTGCATTTCCTGCTGATTACAGAGCAGCTCCGATCGCCCGACTCATCCTTTGTGTGGAGCTGAAAACGCTGTTTCCAGCTTCCTTTATGTACAACTGAACATGTTCATCTAGCTCCTAGATAATATTTATATGTTTTATTCAACTGCAGTAAGGCCCAACCCTGTAATTATTCAAAACAACACAATTTGTCTAGCTGAAACTCAGTCTGTGCACTGTAAAAACACAAAATCTTACCAAGTATTTTTGGTCTTGTTTTTAGTACACTTGAAATAAGACAAAACTTACAAGCAACATTTCAGACAAATATGGGTGCTTGTTTGAAGTCAATAATCAATTAATATTGATGAAAAAGTCCCTGTTATTTCACTTGCAACATAGAAAAATGTCTTGTTATATGTGAAATAATCTGCCAGTGGAGCTAATAATTTTTATTTTATTAATGTTAAGGAATTATTGACCTACCCCCAAATCTGACCAACTATTTTTGATCTAGTTTCTTGTCCAAACATCTCAGTACATTTGAATAAGATAAGCGTACCTGTCTTATTCAAGTAACTTCAAGTAACTCAGGAGCTTGTTTAAAGTCAATAATTCCTTAATATTGATGAAAAAGTTTTAGTTCCACTTATTTCACAATCAAAGGTCACTGAGCCGTTACCTAGCAACGCCAGCCCAGCCCAACCCGTTACCTAGCAACGCCAGCCCAGCCCAACCCGTTACCTAGCAACGCCAACCCAGCCCGTTACCTAGCAACCCAGTTCTAGTCCCATTGGAAGTTTATTTCATGAATAACATGGGAAAATGTCTTGTAATAACTGAGATAATCTGTTAGTGGAACTGGTAAATCTTTTTAAATTAATCGTAAGGAATTATTTACTTAAACTGCAAGAACACAGAATATGTGTGTAATTTCTCGTACAAAGACCTTACTACATTTGAAATAAGACAAAAGTAACTGACAAGCAAAATTACAACATAATATAGGAGCTGGTTTTAAGTGAAATATTCCTTAATATTTATGAAAAAGTACTAGTTCATTATTTCTCTGATGTTAAGACATTTTCTGCTTTGGGGTTGTAAACTGTTCACACAGAAGTCTCATTGAGGTTGCATTTAATTATGCAAAAACGCAAAAAGAAAGAACTGAACTCAGCACAAATCTGATTTATATTGGGTACAAAGGGGGAGAACAATATGAATATTTTTATCAAATATATTCATCAAAAAGATTAAAAGACTGCTTCAGCATTGTACTACCTGCATACAAACATTAGAAACATTCCAAAATTTTATATAAATGACACTGTCTCCAAATGTAATTACTTTTAGCCCTTTTTAATACTTTCTAGGAAAAACAAAGCATGCATCTGCAGATAAATGCTGCAGCTTTCCAGTGAAATTAAGCAGGCAGCGCTACAGTGTCAGCATGAGGTCTCACTCTCCCCCCTGAAGGTGCAATTCTCTCCGCCGTTCAGCGGGAGACAGAGAGGAACATCACCTCAAGTTGAGTGCTTGGCAGCAGACATAAACCTGGGGCTTTTACTACAAAGCAGGATTAAAGGCTCAGTGAAGTAACTTCATGTTCAGCGCTGGGTTGTAGTGTCATAAAAGCTGGTTTACCTCATACTTCTGTTCAAATCGAACCTTAGGGGGGTAAACTGCTCCTGTTTGACTCATATTTTGTACAAAACGGTGAAAACCTTCAGAAGTACTCATTTAACATGCATAAGAATAACAATAAAACTTGATATGTCCCATGTTTTAAATAAATTTATTTGCACGTACATGCAGTGAACCGTTTCTTGCAGAAAGTTGCTGTCAATAGGAATAGATTGACCAAAAACAGATCCCAATTCTGATCACTGAGCTGCTGAATATTGTAGTAGCTGAAGTCGAGATGGTTTGAGACTCACTGTACGGACATCTGTAGGCCTCCAGGCGCAGTCCGATCCGCCCAGCGGGATTCCAGTCCAGAGGAATGAGGCGCAGGAAGCGAGCGACTGCAGGCTGCTGCAGCTTGTACTGAACCACACTGTCTGCGTTAGAGTTACCTGGAAAAGACTGGAAACACACACACATGTACAGACACATTAAATATTTCTATAATAAAAACTACATCATTAAATAAGTTATTGTGCAAAATTTACATTTGGGATGTTTTTGCAATAAGTTCATGTTTTTGGGTGTCTGGAAAGTGAGTCATTTCAAAAACCTATTGACTGTTAAGTCACAACTGAGGGCACTACCCGTTGCCTAGCAACCCCAGGGGAGTTCTGCGTGTTTCCTAGCAACCCAAGCTGAGCTTCAGCAAGATTGGTCAGTTGGTTTTACTGCTGTATAACGGCTGCTGGAAAATTCATGTGTTTTGTTGCAGAACAAAACACATGTTCTGCAACATATGTTCTTGTTGGTTGTGAAGGAGCTCTACTTCTGCTTTTCAAATTTGCATGGTTATATAATTGTCCTTCTGTTTGCAATTATTTTCATGAATGAATGTAAACGTTGACTTGTGGGGGCGTGGCCAGCAGCAGCTTATTTGAATTTAAAGTGACAAGACGCCCTAAATCAGCTCAAAGTAGTCAGAACTGATCAGCGTAAAATCTTAGTATCTAGAATGATTTTGTGCAAAAAATTTACTGAAAATGTTGTGTAAAAACCGATTGACCTAACATATTCAACAATGCATAATATTTCACTTTTCACATTGCTTAACTACTAACATAATGCTTCTAAATATTTCAAAAGAATTATGAGCACAAGTTAGAAACTGATCTGTGAAATGACGAGCTGAATGTCTGACGGATTGCTTTCTGTCCCTTTCTTTGCTCATTCAGTTTCCTCCATCTGGCAATCTGTCCTAATTGCTCGCCTCCCTTGAGGTTGACATGCAGGTTAACTATCTTCCCACTGCTGAATACAAGCCTAAATACATAATTAACTCATTTATTCCCCTCATAATAATGACACCAGAGTTGATTCGTCTGATAATGAAGAGAATTTTACTGCGATAGCAAATTAGTTTTTAGTTACTTCAAATCAGTTTGAGACTCAATCGACTGTTTTTTAAATTACCAAAGAAATTAATTTGACCCAAACAAATTAAACTAATTTATCGTTTTACGTCGACTGTGAAATGTTTTATTTCTCCACTTTCTTGTGTTTAATCAACTCTTGCACAATATACTGACTGACAGAAAATGTCAACGAGTGCAATGTCATAACTGTAACCTTGGTGCAACATCAAGTAGGTTAGTTTATTTCAATATATATGTATATGACCAGATAAATGGACTTTCACAAGCCTTAATACACAAAGTTGATACAGATTTCAGTGGATAAAATGGTTCCTTAGACAGAAACTGCAGTGTTTTATAATTGGAATAAATATGATCTGATTGAATTGGCTGCATATTTTTGTAAATTGCATGAGTGTAAAATGTTTTGAGACATTATTTGTTGTCCACTGGCATTATATAAATATAGGCTGAAATGACTCATTAAATAATTTAACATTCCTCAAAGCAAATTATCTGCCTCGATGCTTCGTTAAATTTATGCTTTACTATATAGCGTACTGTGTTCGGGTCAGATGATTATTTGTGTTGGACAATGCTCTCACTTCTGGCATTGCTAATTGCTATTAGCCTTTATGGAGGGAAATGAGGAGGAACAGAAAGAAATGCCGCCAAGAAATAGACAAAAAGTTTCAAAACTGATTGATCACTTTAAACTACAAAAAAAAGATAACAATCCTTCCCAAAACAGAACGGAATCAGAACAGAATCTGACATGTTGTACATGTACAATGAAATACATTTTAGCTAACATTATATGCAGTAGCTGGTCAAGAACAGTAATAACATGAAATATATATTTCATTAAAGTTTTTTTATATTTCAAATTTGGGACTGAAAGTAGGCATAATGTTTACTAAAATCTCAATTTAAGTTATCTTTTAAAAAGTTATGTTTCTCATCTTTTTTAAACTTAAAACACATTTTTAGTACTTTAAACTTGAGAGTAAAAGTGATGTTTGAAGCAGCAAAAAATGTTTGCTACCCTTTTCTTCATGTCGTTCACATCCAACATTCCCCTTCTTCCTCGTTCTGATTCACTCTTTCACATAAATAGTCCTCCTGATTCGCTTTATGTGTTCTTAGAAAACAACTGAAACAACAAATTATCTCTAATTTGCTCTGCAGCTGTGAATCGATGAGTAAATTAATGACAATATTAGTTTTCATGAGGTTGCAGCTATTTATACAAAAACTACATTTTAAGTACAAGAAAAAAACATATACTTGTTACTTTCATATGTTTTCATGAAAGAAAAGCATCAGATTTCTTTTTTTAATGCTTGAAACCATTAAGTCTTTTTTTTAAGTCACGTTGCAAAAAAAGTTTTAATTTTTAGTGTAAATATCTAAAACTAATTTATACAAACATGTCACATAAAGCTAGCACCATAGAGACCCAATTAGAGCTGATTCAGAGATTAGTTACTTTTGCAATCTAGATTTAGTGATATACACTGGAAATAAGATAAAACTGTCCATCCATTTTCTTTACACCCTTTTCCCAGTGGGG